GCAATAGGTAATCTCCCACCAGGAGGGGCGAAATTCAATCAGATAGCGACTCAGTCAAGCAGACTAATTTTGTAATCGTCCAAGTGCGTGTTCGAAGCGTCAAAATCGTCACGACATCCTAAAATTAGCTTCACACCTCCTCTCACTGCGCATTGTCCGATACGCAACATTTTATATTTTATTATGATCGGACAGACGCGGGGGTGGAAAGCAGATGGCCTCCTTGGGATGCGGCTTAGTGAAAGAAAATTGAACAGATCAATTTCAAAATTAACAAAACACCCCGCTACGAACTAAGATCCTGTTGCTTAAATAACAATCGTTGTGGAACAATTTTTTAATGGACCACTAGACAAGGTACGAATTTCAGCATTCTGATACATGTTTCTTAACTAAAATTTCACGTAAAATACGACGCGCACAACGAAATTTACCAAAATCAACTCTTTACGAAGATATTTAATGATTCTCGATGCGTTAATTCAAACCACTCGCCCATGAAAACTCAATGCTCTACGTGATTCACATAACGCGCTAAACGTTATCATGACAGTCTCTGCGATATTAAAATCTGGCAACCTCAATCTTGACGCTTTGGCTCAGCTGTGGCAAATTGCGTATAGTTTGATCAACACATGGTGGGAAATGAACATTACTCGATTGAGAAGCTTGTTGAAACCGTGGTAGTGCGCGATTTGACTCACGTAGAGCTTTGAGTTTCTTATCAGCGGGCAGTTCAAATTCCTCGCAACCAATGTGAAATTAAAACGTTAATATCTTCGTTTGGAGTTTGTTTCATTAGTTTTCGTTGCGCGAATCGTGCTCTACGTGAAATTCTGGTTAAGAATCATGTATCAGAATGCTAAAATTCGTACCTTGTCTAGTGGTCCATTGGTCATATTTGGAAGTTCCAATGTACGACGTTCAACCGCTTACACAGTTTAGGGGGATTTGGTTTGTAAAATGATCAATTTTCCGAAAAACTAGAATGTATGGATTTTACGCGTCTATCGCGTTTCCGTGCCCTGTGTGACGCCCAATCGCTAACCGCGGTGGTCTTGCCGGAGTTCCTCCGCTAGTGTTACCTACTCCTTTCCCGTTAGATACCACCAATCCACGAGTTGGCAGGACGTTTTCTGTTACGGATTAGGCAAGTTTCCATTCATCATCCTCAATTGCACATTATCATACTGGAAGAGCTTGTTTTGAGAAAAATTAATGTGTATTATTATGCTGTAGCATAATTGACCCCTTAAATTTTCATTGTTTGGCATGGTTCGTTCTACCCCTCTACTGGGTCGAGCTCCACGAATTTTGTCGCTCACGACTTAGTCTCCGAATTTAATTTATTCTTTCCTTGTCCTTTCTTTTAATTTTGTGTACTACTCTTTTTCGATCTCTGATCTAAGGTGTTAATGACCTAGTTGTGTTGGAGCACTTTAAAATAAATTTATCAAACAACAACAACAATAATCATCGGGCACGAGATTTCGTCAATTAACGGAGAGGAAAACCAACCAAAAAGAATTGACCGAAAAGTTGCATTATTCGGTGTTCAATTTCCAGTATCAACACAAAATTGACAAGCTGTGATAAGTGAGAACTGAACGTAACGAGTGCTACTGATGAATTATATGTACATATTTAATTTAATAACATTGTGATTCCAAATAAATGATTGATTACATCTGAAGAAGTGTCATAGAGTGTCGAAATGCATTAGGTGAATAAAATCCACGGATATGTGTTTTAATAAGGCCTTGTCTCCACGAGACGTTTTCATGGGATTTGCCCCAAGTTCGAATCGCAGGAATGAAACTTCTGGGATTTTTCCCAGCTACCGTCTCCACGGGACGAGGCTCATACGGTCCTGCGACGAGTTTGCGCGGGAAGATAAATTAGTTAAAGTTGAATATGTAACCGGGATTAAAATAATAATTGCACTCAATTGACAATAAAACACATTATTTTAACTAAACTAACATTAACAATGGAGTAATCAACAAAATATTACACAGTTCGTTTTCACTTCTTCTTCCTCTCTCAGGGGGTCCTAGGGGTACAAGGACCATTTTTGATACAGGGAAAAATATTGATTAACTCAATATTTTTCCCAACTTCGTAAGTAGGCTTCTTCCCAGGGACAAATCCCGTGAAACGGCCCGTGGACACAAGGCCTTAGAAGTACGATATCTATACTATAAGCTCCAAGACCTCCTAATTTTGCGAAACTGGTAACGCTTAGTTCCAGCGTTCTACCGGGCCGATTTTCATGATTTTTGCGGTTATCGACGGGCAACTGTCTCTAGATAAGCCAACTCTTTTCAGATTTTCAAAATATGGCCCAGGTTTTTTTATATTATGTGGTAAAGTTGCGAATTCTCCCATTTAAACAATGTAAATTTATACTTTTTGTCATAGTTCGTTTGAGCGTTCTACCGGGCCGATTTCCA